CGTCCCCCAGGGAGGAGGTCACATATAGTCCCTTGTAATCGGTTCCCTCCTTCCTACCCACTCTCCCTCCACCCTCCCTGTTTCGCCACTAACACCACTGGTCCTGTAGGGCTCATCTGCCCTGGATTCCCTGTATTTTCAGTTCTTATCTATACCAGTGTACCTCCTTTTAACCTACCTGCAACCAAAATTTAAGTTTCAAGTTTAAATATAAAATTACATTTTTATTTTTAATCATTTTATTGGGGGCTCATACAACTCTTATCACGATCCATACATACATCAATTGTATTAAGTACATTTGTATACTTGCCACATTAAATTAAATTTTGATTGCAGATGGCAGTACATTTTCATTGAAAACCCAAAAGACTACACTATGTTTAAGGAGAAGTTAAAAATTACAGCATCTGATTTAAGCGTTTGTATTACCCCACATTTTTAAAGGATAGAAAAAGTGCTATTTGGAGTGACTGGCAAGAGATAGTTTCCTGGGATGGATGGTTTAGAAACTATCTCTTACCATAAAAAAAGTGAAATTTTCTTTTTGGATATGTAATATCCTAATGTGGTACAAAATACAAAATATTTAAACTAGTAAACTGAAAAGTCACAGCCATTTGGAAGCAACAAATGATGCCAGTTTCTGAAGCTAACTTATACATACACAGAGCTAGAGCTTATTATGACAACAGAATGGAACTAGATAGTGTTTATTGTGCAATATGGGGAGTGTAACTGTTCACTTTATTGCTCCCCTAGAGAGATGTATCTTTCATTTCTCTACTCAATTTAGATTTACTGTCCAATTTATCTACTGTTCAGATATGTCTATGTAGAATTTTGGAGAAGTGGTGTGAAATGCATGATTCTTTCATTAAGAACTTCCTTGTAATCACTCCCCCCAAATAGAATTTCATAATTAAACAAAGATTTGAAAAATTATTCTGGTCAAAAATTACAATTCTTTCATATTTTAAATGCCCCTCTATCATGCATTCAGTCGGCTAGGGAATAAGCATGAGCATTCCATTACTAATGTGAGTAGCGCTTTTCTCAGGCAGGATGCTAGGACTGGAACCAAAGGACAATACGGTTTGGCAATCATGAATTGAGCATCTGCAATTAGCAACAACAGTGAATGAAAAACAGAAAATAATAAAGGTTTACCCCTTGCCAAAAATATGCCTAGGAAGAGGTGACTACCAAGGACAGAGAAGCAGAATAAAAGGCTGTGCTCAAAGAGGTATCAGATGTTAAATGAAATAAGAATTTCCAAACACCAAGAAAAAGGTTTTCATTGGATTGAAAATGAACTCTTTAAGAAATAACTTCCTTATTCAGCTCCTCACTCTGGTTGAAATTTGAGGACACTTACCTACAAGGGTCAGTCAAAAAGTATTATTATAAAGTTATAGAAACCTTTATTGAATGCAGTGTTTCCATCTTGCTAACCCTTTCCCAAAGAATTCTGTATCCTTTTATCCACACATCAAAACAGCAGTTTTGGCATCCTTGAAGGGCACAAATTGTTTTCCCTTACAATGTTGTTTCCATTTGGAAAGCAAAAAAGAAGTATGAAGGGGTAAGATCAGTGCTGTAGGATGGATGGGGTAAGGTTTGCCAATGAAATTCTCAATGGCCAACACTTGCTACCTTCCAAAAATGAGCAGGTGCACTGTTGTGATGGGGGAAAAAAATACTTGACATAACTTTCCTGGCCTTTTAGCCACCAATGCAGTTTTCAGTGTTCTGAGAACTTCATAATTAGCTCTGCCCTTCAAAAAAAGCTATCAAGATTACGCCTTTGAAATAAAAAAGTCATAACCTTTTGAATTTTGAATTTAAATGGCCTAGCAAATCCCCTCTGAAGCCACTGTTTTGGCTGGGCTTCTTTTGAAGGCACACTAGCCACACTAAGACAATGTTATTACTGAGAGAACTCAGCTGCATCCCTCACTGAGGTTTAACACAGAGAGATGTTTAAACACAGTGTGTTCACAGTACACATAAGACTTGGCAGTACCAGGTGAACAGAAATGGCTGTGTCATGTGCCATTATTTGCTATACCTTAGGATACACCTCTGGCTCTATACCTACTACCCATAATTAAATGTATTCCATTATTTGTGTCTATGAATCCTGTCTAGAATTTTCACTATGTATAACAAGAAGCAAATGAATAAACTTCTAAGTGGATAAGATCATCCACATTATATAATATATATCAAAAGATTATATATCAAAAGACAACATATATCAAAAGGATCTATCAATAGATATCATAAAGTAATAATATCATATCCACAAATACTTATGCTGGGAAAAACCTTGATCTAGATGCTGTGCTGTCATTAAAAAAAAAAAGATGTGATTCTTGCTCTCAAATTAGAATAAAACATCCAAGAAGAACTGATGAAAGTTTGGCCTTGTCCAATTATCGGGAGAAATAAAATACAAGGCCCCTCAAAAATTTTGTCATCTGAATGTAAAATTCTTCCTAATGTACTGGGAAATGATATGTGAACATGAGCAAGAGCTAGAAAACAATCTCTCCCCAAAATTAAAACAATTAAATGGTACACATAGAGCTTTCCTTCTACATTTATAATGCTTATCGCTTTATACAAAAAGAGAAATTTGTGATCTTGAAGATACATATGAAGTGATAAACGGCTTTACAGAGTACTTCACTATCAAGTAGAAAGAACAATGATATAGGTAAAATGAATACCCAACTTTGTTGGTGGTGGGGGGAGATGTTGTAGGGTGATTACAGACTAAAGGGAAAAATTTTTTAAAACGGGGGTGGGGTGGGGGGGGTGAGGGGGTGATTAATGATCGAAGAATTCTCAAACATAATTTCAGCACATTTGAAGACAAAGAGTTGAGACTAAACTGGAAGGGTGGGAGATGATAAGAATGATTAAGAGTACATTCCTAGTGAATAAAGAAAACATGCACAAAAAGAGAATTAAAAATTACTGAATAACTTGAGAAAGGAGTGAGTGGGAGCGAGAGAGGCAGTGGAGGAGGGAAGGAGGGAGGGTGAGAGACAGACAGACAGAAAGTGAGACTACATTAAGGAAGACATGGATAGGGATATTATGGCATACCCACTGGTATTAACATTGATAGCAGTGCTACTTAATAAAATAAAGCAAATTTATTCATTAATATGCATTCCCCTTTCCCTCAATTAAGGGCAACCTCACCTTCCTGTTGGCATCAAGGCTAGAGGCTGGAATCTGTAGGGTAACTTTATATTCTGTTCTTTTATCCAGTTCTTCTGCAATATAACTAGCTTCTCTCACCAAGAGATTGGCTTTAACAATTTGCTCCCTCAACTTCATCAGGCTATTGCTCAGTGTTGCTTCTCTATTTTAAAAAAGAGGTGACAAGGGGTAAGGAGAAGAAAACATGCAAAGCAGCACATTATGATAATGACAACATACAAACCCCACCTTAAAATTACATTTTGTACAGGGACTATATTACTGACACCAACCCATGCACATACTTGTATCTGGGCTACCTGATAAGTACTAGCATATACACTGCAATAAACCAATCTTCTATTGGAGCAGCAGTGCTTTTTGGACTTGACTGTGAGTACAAATTGCCTGAAGAGTCTGACTTAGTAGGTCTCAGGGGGCAGGTAAAGGGGATGAGTATCAGAGATTCTGCTTTTCTCTATGTCTACAGGTCATTGAATGCCACCTGCCTGCAGACCAAACTCTAAAGCTGCAGGCCTGCAATAAAACATTTCAATGCCGTGCAAATTAGCTTTTGTACAGATCAAATTTGCCATCCAAACCTCATCCAATCCAAACCTCATCACATTTTGCCTACACAAGCTAACCTATCCAGATAAGCAACATTCTTCCCTACCCCCATGTCCTCTTTTTTTAAGGCATCTAACCAGGCTTCATAACCTAAAGGATAATACAGACAGTCCCCAGGTTACTAACATCTAATTTTCACACGAATAGATATGAAATCAACTCCCCTAAAATCTATTATATGAAAATTTTTATGTACATTCAGTAATTTGTAATAATGAACAATGCTACTGTGGGCACCAACATATTATTATTATGTTATATTAAATGCTTAAGTGTTATCTGATGTGTTTAATACTTTTTATTGCATAAAAAGAAGCACTGCATACGCTCTACTAGGAAAAACATTGCCTGATATTAGACAAATTTATTTATTCAACTTAAGTATAAATTCAGCTTAAAAAGAGAACATGTTTGTAATCTAGGGGATTGCTTGATATAAAGTATAAATTGAATGATATAAAGTATAAATTGAAGTATAAATAGTTATTTAAACTCAAAAGCCATACAAACTGAAAATGGGCTGGCTCTGAGCAGTTTTAAATAAACCAGTAAGTTGGAAGGGAAAAAAAAATGCCAAGTGATTCTTGATTAAAACACTCCCTTTTATAAGGCGTTCTCAAAGTCATGTTTCAATCTTTCCATTCAAATCTTGTCAAGATGGGTCAAGGTAATGAGGACGTAAATGTAATGTACATAACATTCCTCCATACACTACCTACCTTTCCTCAGCCCACTGTCTTAAGCGTTGTTGAGCATTGGGTGAGTGGAAAGAGAACCTGTCCATGCTACTTCGATAGTTTTGCTTCTCAGGAGATAGTCTTCTTCGTAACTGCTCCAGTTCATGTTCATACATGATCCTCTGGCGTTCTAAAGCTGATCGTTTTTCTTCTTCGTGCTGTTGTTCCAAGCTATTCAACAGTGACTGCATTGGATCTAAAAGAGTTTTATTTCTTAAGGTAAACAATATATACACATATGTATATTTTCCCCAATGGTGCCCTATATTACTATGTTGGTTAAAAACATGAAATAATATCTGGATTCTAAAATTTTTATATTACATTGTAGGAATTATAATATGGGTTAAACAATGAAAATATTAGGGAATTATAATTAACTAATTAGATATGAAGATGCTTAAATAAAAGACAATCCTTATCCAAAGCTTATGTAGATGAATGTGCTTATTCTTATAAGATATATGTTGAAGTGTTAAGAGATGACATATATGAGCGGGTATCCCCAAAAAATGGAATTATTTTTTTCAAAGCTACTGTATATACTCAAGTATAAGTCTACCTGAATTCAGTCGAGGCACCTAATTTTACCACAAAAACTGCATCAAAAATGTGCTTGAAAAAAATGTGCTGAAAAAATTCAGCTTATATATGAATATATATGGTATGTATTTAAATTTTTTTTACAAAATAACCTTATCACCTTCAAAGTCCTCTCCATTACACTTAATATATTTGCTAAATCTACAATTCCATTCTTGGAAACATTTTTCAAACTCCTCTGTTTGGATGGCTGCCAGCACCGCTCCCATTTTTTCGTCACCTCTTCTAAGTCATCAAATAGCTGTCCTTTCATGTCCCTCTTCATTCGCTGAGACAAAAAGAAGTCTCACGGAGCAAGGTCAGGTGAGTATGGTGCATGGGGCAAGAGAGGCATGCAGTTTTTTCCAAAAACTGGTGCACTGAGATGGCTGCATGAGCAGGTGTATTGTCATGGTGGCAAAACCAGTCCCCGTCTGCTACAAATCAAGCCTGGTTGTCACACACTGTTACACAATTTTTTCAGAAACTCTAAATAGAAAGCTTTATTAACAGTCTGACTTGATGGAATGAACTACAAATGCACCAGAAGTCCACATTTTTGTCCCTTTGGGAAGTTGGCATACATCCAGAACAAGGTTTGTTATCAGCCGACATTTCACCTTTTTTTGAAATGAGAAAAACCACTCATACACTTGAGTTTTTCCCATAGTGCTGTCCTTGTAAACTGTGATCAATATCACAGCAGTTTCTGCGGCATTTTTCCCAAGCAGGAAACAAAATTTCACAGCCACATGCTGTTCTCTTAAATTTGCCCACAAAAAAAACAAAGTTGCAGTGAAACTGCTTTTACAAAAAAATTCACTATGACCAGAGAGAACCTTCTGCACTAACTCAGAGATAGTTGTTCCATGCTCACCTAGCAGGAAAAATGCGTACTATGAAAGCTCCACTCTCCCAGCACAATTCCAGTTTTTTGGGTACCCCCTCACATGATACCTGCAACCTATTTTGAAATCTTTTTCCAAAAATAAGTACAAAGATAAGAATAGAAATATGTTAACAATTATTGAATCTAACTGGTAATCATACAAGTATTAACAATTTTATATGTTTGAGAATTTTCAGAATAACATAGCAATATAAAAACTCCACATTACATTAAAGGAGTTTATTTTCAAAATAAAATAGCAATATAAAAACTCCATACTACATTAAAGGAGCTTAACATAATAAAAACATTAAGCCACTTTATCTTTTTCACAACAAAGGTTTACAATGTGTAACAAAATTTGAAGTCATACTCCTTGGAGAAAATAAGGAAGTAATAAAATGGGTAATAGCAGCATAAACAATATAAAAATGTAGCAAATGGAAAGGAAAATTGAATTAGCTTATGCTAGGGTCACATACACTTGCTTGTTTCATTAACTCCACAAACATTTACTAAGGACTTAATATGTTCCAGGCATCATTCTAGATGTTAAATAAACAATACAGAATAAGATACATTCTCAGTCCTTAAAAACTTAGAACTTCCCATTTTAAGGGAATTATTTGACTAGCTCAAAATTACATAAACATGAAATATTCATAAAATCAGCGTGAAAGCTTTTAGTTCTTCATATCTTATTTCAAGATATTTTATATAAGTAGAACGTAAGCTGCAAGCTACCAAAAGTTTAATCATGCTATGCAATGCCCAATTTAAAAAAAATTTAAGAATTAAAAAGCAGACCATATGGGTAATTTCCTTTGAAATCTAGAAATTAGCCAAATGGTTTTAACCCTTGTTTTCTGTTTTAAAGTACCAACCTAATTAATATGACATGATTCAACTTAGAATAAGCTACGTTTTCCATACTCTCAAGTTTTTATAAGTTCGTTATATGCCAAGCTATTTTCTTTTTTTTTGCCAAGCTAATTTCTATATTAAAAAGTTGGTCTATACTATGTTCTACATATAACCTGAGAGATGGCAAATAATCCAGAAATATAATAATAATAAAACAGTACCAGTCGAGGGTCACGATTGGAAAATTTTATCACTAAGAACAAGGATTGCAGTTATACATGAAAAGAAATACTCTATAAAATATAATAAATTATTAAAGCCAATGGAGTCTAAAGAACAGAAATATACTTCCTTTCTTAATAACATTTATAAGGGTTATTTCTTAAGTATTTTAACACTTTACCAATTTTAAGGGATTCTAAAGGATACAACAGATTCGCTCACCATTATTCCCAAGAGCCTTCATGGTGACTTCCATCTGTGCATATTCATAATTGAAGTTAATTTCACTGGACACTTCACTGGAGGAATCTCCATCTACATCTAGCTGCTCAGAACTGCTATCATTCTTCATAGAGTTGTCATGATCATCATCCTCTTTTTCTATTTTCTTTTTTTTTTTAGGTAAATTAAGTCTTGGGGAGGTAAGTGGAGAGAGAAAGAATATTCTCCTGTAAACAGAGATGCTTCCTCCATTGCATTCATTAACTACTGGTATTTGCTAAGGTGCCAGGTTGGATACCATGTAAGTACAAGGCAATTACTGAAGTCAGGAAGACTATATTCCAGGAGCAGAAACAGAATACATATAGTCTAATACACGAGGTCACACACACTACTGTTACAGGGTACGTGGTAAAGAAAAGCTGAGGACCAGACCACACTTACTGGTCTGATAGGAATTGTTAAAACCCCCAACGATAGGACTCCTAGTCATCCTTCAAATCTGGACCTGAATTCACTCCTTCCCTTTTTCCTTCCCCACTCCCCCTTTTAGCCTGCCCCCCACCCCATATCACTTCTTGCATTCAGAGCTATTTCACTAGGTAAATGCTGTCCTTTTGATCTCATTTGACTAATTGAAGTAAAGAGTGCTATCTCCCTGTTATTACTGTTCACCTTAAAGGCTTGTTTGGTCCAAAGTAGAAGGTAAGATACTTCCTTTCTCAACCAAGAGGAAAATTCTGGTAAATAATACATAAGTGGAAGTCTGTTGGAGACTCTGGGAAGACTTCTGCTTTTTAATTAAGTGTACAGTCAAGGCTAGTACTGCTACTCCCTCTTTTTCTTACCATTTCCTTGAGTGAGGTTTTGGTGGCTGACATGAAGTAGTCATAAAGAAAATCACAAAAGTTCAGCAAGGGCATTTTTGAGTTCAGCAAGGGAGATTAGCCATTGCCAACAACCCTTCAGATTTCCTGGTATATAAGCTATTACAATCAAGTTTGCCATTACTTGCAGCTGAAAGCATTCCCAAGTGAAAGATCAACCTTATTTTATTGCTAAGGAAACTAAAGGCATGACTTCTTTTTAAAAGAAATAAAAATTAGCATGTCAGAAAAGAATTAATGGAAAAAGATTAATTAAAGTTAATGTAAGATTGTTGTACCATGTAGCATACCAATCTTCTTCCATATGGAAACAAAGAAAAAATATCCAAGAAATTCATTATTCATCCTGAGTATACCATTCTTTATGTTCCTAGAGTTAAAATCATTTATATGTGTTAAGGGTGTGTGTGCATGTGTGTGTGTACACATACATATACTTTTATTTAAAAGAATGTACTGTCATCAACTTAATGCTGACTCATAGCAACCCCTGTGGGTTTCCAAGACTGTAACTGTTTATGATAGTAGAAAGCTCAGTCTTTCTCTTGTGGGGCTGCTGGTGGTTTTGAACTGCCAGTCCAACTCACAACCTCTACACTACCAGGGCTCCTCTACTTAAATAAATAGTGAGTTTAAACCATTCATGTATAAAGTGTGTGTGTGTGCTTGTATACTTATATATATATAAAGTTATATATATGTAAAGTTTCATTACCCATATCTATTTAACAGTGGTAGGTACTATTTTACATAGGGTCATTAGAACCAACTTGACACCACCTAATGTTGACAATAGACACACATACACAGACACATATGCAATAAATAAATATAGATAGAATAATACTATTGTCATGCAGTTGTTTCATTTGTATACATATTTTATTCCAGTATTGAATATAATTTTCAATATTTTCTCTCTTACAGGGCCATGAACAATGTCATACCTGAAGAAGTGGTTGTTTCCCCATAATATCCTGTCCCCATGATGTAGTTGTATAGGACTGGAGACACAAGAGCCATTTACAAATGTTCTGTGGGGAGAAGAGGTCAATGATTATGTAAATTATGATTATCTTGTAAATAATGATTATCAATGATTATGTAAAAAATGATCAATTTCCCAAAACAAAACCAGGTTTGGGTGAATTTTTTTGGTATATATTTTCTTCTTTGCTGACTTACCTAAAATGCTTCTAGTAATAAGTATAAAAATTATTATCCTCTATCTTTTCAAAATCCTAAATCTATTACACAGCTAGTACCTGACTTACACCAGGGTTCTGACAGAGTTGAATACCTTTTTTTTCTTTCAGTTTTATTACTGCCTTTTCATTATCAAGATTTTTTAATCTGATCTTTATTTGTCTCTGGTGATTGGAAACACAACATATAAACTTATAGAGATATTTTAACATTGTATGTAGTACATATTACTAACAATACAGTAAAAGAGACAGTTCATTTTCTTCCTCTAGTTAACTTTCAACTCCTGAAGAAAGGGAACAGGTTTAAAAAAAAAAGTTTATTTTCTGAATACAAAACAAGCGTGACTCTATCCAAATTCAAACTACTCGGCTCTACAATAAGTCCTCTCATTCATCCCCACCACCTTCTACTCTCACCCCCTGTAACCTTACTCATTTTTAAATGACAGTTCTGCTTCTCTTTCCGCTTTAAAGCCGGATGGTCAACCAGTCTATTTTCTTTCTTTTTTTCTTTTTAAATCATTTTATTAGGGGCTCCTACAACTCTTATTACAATCCATACATACATCAATTGTGTCAAGCACATTTGTACATATGTTGCCATCACTATTCTCAAAACATTTGCTTTCTACTTGAGCCCCTGGTATCAGCTCCTCATTTTTTCCACTATCTCTCTGTCCCCCCTCCCCCATGAACCATTGATAATTTATAAATTATTTTTTTTAATCATTTTATTAGGGGCTCATACAACTCTTATCACAATCCATACATACATCAATTGTGTAAAGCGCATTTGTACATTCATTGCCCTCCTCATTCTCAAAACATTTCCTCTCCACTTAAGCCCCCGGCATTAGGTCCTCATTTTTCCCCTCTCTCCCTGCTCCCCACTCCCTCATGAGCCCTTGATAATTTATAAATTATTATTTTGTCATATCTTGCCCTGTCCGACGTCTCCCTTTACCCACTTTTCTGTTGTCTGGCCCCCAGGGAGGAGGTCACATATAGTTCCTTGTAATCAGTTCTCTCTTTCCAACCCATTCTCCCTCTACCCTCCCTGTTTCGCCACTCACACCACTGGTCCTGTAGGGATCATCCGCCCTGGATTCCCTGTATTTCCAGTTCCTATCTGTACCAGTGTATATCCTCTGGTCTAGCCAGACTTGCAAGGTCGAATTCGAGTCATGGTAGTAGGAGCGGGGAGGAAACATTTAGGAACTAGAGGAAAGTTGTATTTTTCATCGTTGCTACATCGCACCCTGACTGGCTCATCTCCTCCCCGAAACCCCTCTGGCAAGGGGATCTCCAGTGGCCTACTAATGGGCTTTGGATCTCCACTCCCCACTGCCCCCATCATTCACAATGGTAAGATTATTTGTTCTGATGATGCCTTATACCTGATCCCTTCGACACCTCATGGTTGCATAGGCTGGGGTGCTTCTTCCATGTGGGCTTTGTTGCTTCTGAGCTAGATGGCCACTTGTTTACCTTCAAGCTTTTAAGACCCCAAACGCTATATCTTTTGATAGCCAGGCACCATCAGCTTTCTTCACCACATTTGCTTATTCACCCGTTGTCTTCAGTGGTTGTGTCGGGAAGGTGAGCATCATAGAATGCCAATTTAATAGAAGAAAGTATTCTTGCTTTGAGGGAGTACTTGAGTGGAGGCCCAATGTCCTTCTGCTACCTTAATACTAAACCTATAAATATAGGCACATAGATCTATTTTCCCATCAGTCTAATTTTTAAAACTTTTTAAGTACTTACCTGGCTTTATAGTGCTCATTATTTTTCATTTATTTACACATCACGAAATTGTTAACTTTCACTCACCATTTAGAATTTTAAACACTAAAACTAACTGATCTTTAGACTCCTATAGTTTGATGAGTCAAAGCACAGATGCAAAAAACCCCACAGTTGTGATTAATTGACTAAATAGGGTACATAACTAAAATTAACATAATTTAGCCTTTATGGCCACTAATTCCTTAAACATATGTGAGGAGATTAATAAAGGCAAAAATCTATATATATTTACTTTTTAAATCCACAGCAGTTAGACTCTAGTAAGTAAAAGCATGACTATCATAGTAAGATGTGGTCTATGAGGGGTCTTCCAAGATCAAAACTATTTTTATACTAACCCTAACAGGTTAGTGGTTGAGCACTGGGCTGCTGGAATAGACATTACTTAGAATGCTTTATGTGATAAAGTAAAAAGTAAATAAAAGTACACCAATTGTAAAGGATATGTACAAACTGGGTTTTCAGACTTATATTTTCTTGAAAGTGAACAAAGTGAGCATGCTACTTGAAGTAAAACAGCTGACAGCTTATCAATGTTGCCAATGATAAAATTCACGCTTTTCAGTGAAAATTAAAATGTGGGTAAGCCTATGTCAGTGTCCTCTGCCCAGAATCTACCAGGAACATACTTACATTTGAATATGCTGTATTTATTACCCGTTGGCTAGAGAGAAAAGACTCACTGTGGGAAAGCAGCAAGTGTCTCAGTAAGGGAGTAAAAGAACACACTATAGGATTTGGGCTTTGGTTGGGCAATTTGAGAGAAGTCTAAGGAAGAGGTGGTTTAGTTTGCTACAGAATGGATGCTGCCAGAAATCAGGGATAATTATAAGACTGGGTTCTAGGTAAATCTTACTTATAGAGGGGAGAAACAAGAACAAGCACAAAGTTGTAATTGATGGATAAATAGTAGCTGCTAAAATGAGACATGTTTGTTACTTTTAAAGTAGTTAAGTGGCTTTGTTTTGGTTTTGCCTGTACTTAAAATTACTAAGCAGCCTTTGTCACATTTTTTATTAGTTTTATTGGCATATAATCCACATGTCATACAACCCAACAGCTCAGTCATATTAAAAAGAGTTGCACAATCATCACCTCTGAGCAGGCTGGTACAAAGCTGACATTCTGTGAGACACTTTATAACTAATAGGAGAATAACACGACCTAGCTCTAGTGCCAGGCCAGTTTCTTGATAATAGGGGCAGCTCTTGATTGTCTTTTGTCCTTCATCAAACTGTGATAGCTTCAGGAATGCTTAGAGAAACTGTTGTCCTTCTGTGCTAGTGATCAAACTGAATTCTGGAGGCAGAGAAAACATGACGATTCCCCAATGAGCTTCCAATTGGGTCTGAAGAGACCAAAGTCATGCCCAGGATGATACAGCCCCATGGGGGACCCACACTGGAGACCACAGCACACCGCCCAACCGGACTTCCATCTTGTCAAAACCAGATCATGGAGTCAAGTGAAGTGGACTTTGGCAGGCACAAGGATCAGTGTTGTTCCCTGTTATTTTTTGACCTTTCATTTTACCTTTTGTTGTTTGCTTCTGAGAGATCAAATCTTAAGAATATACACACACCTCTGTTCACTGCAGCAATACTCACAATATCAAAAAGGTGAAAACAACCTAAATGTCCATCCATGAATGAATGGATAAGCAAATTGTGATACATGAATACAATGAAACATTACAGCCATAAATAATGCTGAGCTGTGTGATTGAGTTAGTTAAAGTATATTATGCCAACCTGGTCGATAAACACATGTGGGGTT